CATTTTTTAGGGTATGGTTTAGTAGTGTTAATTATACTCACATTGTTGTGCAACAAAACTCCAGAGCTCTTCATCTTGAAAAACTGAAAATCTACATCCCTTAAACAACATCTCCCCATTTGCCCAACTCCCTAGTCCCTGGCAATCACCATTTTACTCTCTGTCTCTATGAATCTGACTACTCTAGGTACCTCATATAAGTGGAATCATATAGTATGTGTCTTTTTCATACTGACTTATTGCACTTAGCATCATGTCCTCCAGGTTCATTCATGTTGTCATATATGTCAGAATTTCCTTCCTTTTTATGTCTGAATAATATTCCATTGTGTAGACAGACCACATTTTGCGTTTCAACTGCCAATGGACACAATTTGCTTTCACCTTCTGGCTATTGTGAATAATGCTGCTATGAACATGGGCATACAATTATCTCTTTGAGATGCTGCTTTCAATTCTTTTGGGTATATACCCAGAAGTGGAATTGCTGGATCATCTGGCATTTCTATTTTGAATTTTTTGAGGAGCTGCCATACTGTTTTCCACAGTGGCTGCACCATTTTACATTCCCACCAACAGTACACGGGGGTTTCAATTTCTCCACATCCTCTGCCAGGCATGTTTTCTGTATTTTTTGCTTTGTTTTGTTTATTTTTGTATTTTTTTAAATGATAGCCATCCTAATGGGTGTGAGGTGACATCTCATTGTAGTTTTGATTTGCGTTTTCCTAATGATTAATGATGTTGAGCATCTTTTCATGTGCTTATTGGTCATTTGCACATCTTTCGAGAAACGTCTAAGTCCTTTGCCCATTTTTGAATCAGGTCTTTTTGTTGTTTTTGAGTTTTAGGAGTTCTCTATATATTCTGGATATTCATCCCTTATCAAATATATGATTTGCAAATATTTTCTCCCATTCTATGGTCTGCCTTTTTACTCTGTGGTAACATCTTTTGATGTACACATTTAAAATTGTTTCATGAAGTCCATTTTGTTAATTTTTTAGGGACTTCGCTGGCGGTCCAGTGGTTAAGACTGCGTTTCCACTGCAGGGTGCACGGTGTTGATCCCTGGTCGGGGAACTAAGTTCCCTCATGCTGTGTGGCATGCCCCGCTGCAAAAAGAAAACCAAAACTATCAGCAATTTGTTATTTTTCATTAACTATGCCTTTGGTGTAATTTTCGAGAAATCTTCTCCAAATTCAATGTTGTGAAGTTTTGTCCTATGTCTTCTAAGAGTTTTATAGTTTTAGATCCTTGATCCATTTTGAGTTAATTTTTTATATGACATCAGTAAGAGACCAAATTCATTTTTTACATTTGGATATTTAGTTTTCCTAGCACCATTTCTTGAAACGACTGTCCCTACTGAATATTCTTTGAACCCTTGAAAGAAGTAACTTGACCATGTATGTGAAGTCTATCTCTTTTAACTTGAAACCTTTAAAGTTTACTTAAAAATTTAAAAAATATTTAAAAATCTCCATCCAATCTATTTCTTTTGATGTAAGAATTCTGTTCATTCACACAATATAATTACTTTATTCCTTCCATTTAGTATAAGCTCAGTCTTTTTGTGTTTCCTTTTTCCTTTTTTTATAAACAATTTTATTTGTTGTTAATTTGGGAATTCTCTGGTACTTTTCCATTTCCATGTAAATGCAGTACAGCATCTCCAAATCTCTGACATTTTTGCCTCCCTCTCACTTATAAGGGCCCGTGGGGTTAGGTTGAAACTACCCAGATAATCCATGGTAATCTCCTTATGGCAAGACCCTTAACTTTATCTACAAAGTCTCTTTGCCATGTAAGGCAACAGATTCACAGCTTCCAGAGATTAGAATGTGAGCTTCTCTGCAGGGCCATTTTTCTGCCTACCACACACCATCAGCCTAAAGTTAAACCCAGATCTTATTGAAAACTTGAAAGTTTTCCCCTAAGTTATTGAAATTTTGTTCTGGTCTCTTCTTGGGGAACACCTGTCACCCACAGATTTCTACTTTCCAGGCTCTGTTGCTCTCATGTTGCTCCTCAATCCTATCTACTCTATTTTTCTGGCACATTCTGGGAGATGATCTCTGGAAGAGCAAACTTCTACACCGATTTTACTTTTTGCATTATCAATTAGGATCTTTACTGCTTTCAATATGCATTAAAAAAATTCACTCTTTTGCTTCCTTCAAGTTAGTTACTGCCCCTCCCATAAAATGAATATACTCATTTTCAACAAATGGTTTTGTTTTCATAAAGTTCCAAGGTAAAGAGTTCCTCTTTATTTTGCCAAATATAGATACCTCAAATGAAGCATCCTCCCTGATTTTACATTAAGTATTCTCATTCACTAAGTGGAAAACAAAAACAAAAACAAAAAATCAAATAAGGAGCTTTCCTTAGAGAGCGCCACCTTAACAAAGCTCATCTCTGATTGGGTATTCTACAAGTTGCATATTAATAGGAGGAAAGAGTTCTCTAAGTGACTAATAAGTCCAAAATTCAGCTGCATGGGTTAAAGATGGAGAATAGACTATTTCATTAATGAGGTTGTTAACTCTTTCGCAGAGTGTAGTCACATTAGATTGCTGCGTATGCTTATTGGTGGTCGTTGAAATTATACAGAAAGGGTTCAAAGGAGAGTAGGAGAAGAGGAAATGGATCTGTGTTTACTGACAAAGTGGAATTAGAAATTCCTGGACAAGTAAGCATTTAGGTGAATGATTGCCCAAGATGAAGAGGAACTCCCTCCCTGTTTGGAGACAGAAGAATGGAATCACAGGGGAAAGAAGACTGATCCTTAACAGTTATTTGAAGAGAGTATTCTTTCTTTCAAATGCTTTCTGTTGTGAGAGATAAGCTAAACTAGAACTAGTTAAGTGTGGCGCTCCAGCGGGGAAGTGTCTATCTGGATTCTGCTAAGATGACTACAGGTCCCCAGGTCTCTTGGAGCTTACAGGAACACAATTTTCCCTCCTGGTGTGTTCTGTGGGGTGGTGCTAGTGATTCTGTGGAGGGAATCCAACGCAGGCGACTTGAGATGGTCACTTTTGCACCAGAGGAAATGCTTTTCTCCCACTCTGAAACCCATTCAAGCCTTTCCATAAAAGAGGAATACTTATATACAGGCCTACAGCAGTGTGATTTTTTGAGTCAAGACATTTAAAAAAGATTTTCAGTTTTGAAAATTTTTTTTGGCCACGCCTCACAGCTTGCAGGGATCTTAATTCCCTGACCAGGGATTGAACCAGGGCCATGGCAGTGAAAGTTCCTAACCACTAGACCGCCAGGGAATTCCCTGAAAATTCCTTAAATGTTTTCTATTTCTGTAAAAGGGAAACTTTCCACTTAGCAGTACTAATCCAGGATATATCAAAACTGAACGCTGTCTTTGCCCTCAACTATTCTAACTACCCAGAGCAGTTGAAGATCTAAGACCTCTGTGTCATCTTGGTGTGCCAGACTCTTACTGAATTCAACTGAAGACTTAACCTGACCGCTGAACAATGGGGACTTATTTTAACCATTTGTATACAAATGCACTTATTTTGCTCTATCCATAACAGTAATTTTCTACCCTTAATTAGCATAAGCACCATGAAACTGTGCACCTTCCTTCCTATCACTTCAAAACTCCTAACATCCCCCTTCTCTCCCTGCTCCCCATCCCTTCCAGCTCCCTCAACAACCATGAATGCCTTCAACAGTGTGTTCCCTTGCCTGGCAAGCAAATGAACTCATTTTTGAAAAGCCCAAGTAGTCTGTTTTATTCTGATCCTGCTTGTACAGAGTATGTAAGCAGCACTGCCGAGGTACTTCAGTGACTGTTTATTTGATATGGTTTTAACACACTCCGTGTGTCCCTGTAGGAGAGTGGTGGCTGAATCCTGTGTCCCTGCTGTGTATTTTTTGCATGTCATTCCATGGGGATTGGACTTTAAAGGACCAGAGGGTATCCAAACTCAATCTCCTATATTCTAAGTTTGTTAACAATGTGCTCAGGCCCCATGACTTTTCGGTAAAGAACTAAGAACATGCTGCAGTTTCAGTCTGTCCAGTTCAGTTGTCTTTTTGCTCTCATGGCTTACACAAACCTTTCCTTGGGAGATGACCAGGGAGGATGGAACATTTTGCAGTGGACTGTCCTAAGGCAACCGTGCCCCCTTTGGGGGCATAAATTGTGCCAGCAGAAAGCTATCCTCTCAGATGTGTGTGTGTTTCATCACTCAATCAATATTCCAAACTTTCCACTATTCCAATCTTTCCAGTATTTCTGGCTTTTGTCAATCTAACCTGAAATGAGATACCTCATACACATGGCAATGGGAGAGTTTTGTGTAGCCTTATGGAAATGCTTTTTTACATTTCCAGCATTCATAGTTGTACAACCAGTTTGGGTGCAGCCATTAGCAATTGAATAAAGTTTTTGAGTCATCACCACCGTTTTTTTTTTTTTTTTAAATTACTGTTTAAGTCAAGTTATCTTAATAGTGTCCTAAGGATCCTATTAATTAATGGTTACCATGAGGAATTTAAGTATTTTGCCCAAGCCTTTGGAGGGAACACGGTCCCTGCTAACACTGACTTCAATCCAATGAAACCAATTTCAGACTTCCGACCTCCAGATCGCTAAGAGAATAAACAGACACTGTTTCAAGCCACCAAGTTTGTGGTAATTTGTTACAGCAGCTATAGGAAACTAATACCTCGCCTATGCCAGGTTTACCTGTTTTTAAGAAGCCTAGGTTTACCGCTATTTTTAAACAGTCAACTCTTACTATGTCACCAGCATTATGTAGAACTAAAAACCATCTGTAAGCCAGGAGCATTATTCATATATTCGTATCTCTTACGACTTTGTGCTAAAAAAATGAAGCAAGTGTATTTATCTTCACAAGGTTAACTTCAGAGCGAGCTACTTGGCTCACACTTCAAACAAAATGGAAAGGCAAGGTTCAAAGTGCGGTGGTGAACGTTTTGTCTTAGTACCATGAAACAATCACTGTCAGCCTTGGGATGTTTAATAAATAGCAAAGTGCATACAGATATGTACCACAGTTTTAAAGAAAAACAGAGGTCCCATTCTGTGGTCCCAACAACAACAAATAGGCATCGCCTTGAACTGTTTCTAAATTCTTGAGAACAGTTGTTTTGAAAGTAGAGTTCGCTTGCAATCTTCAAAAAAAAAAAAGGAACGTCCTGCCCTTCCTCAGAATGTGCTCTGAATTAAATGTGGACCCGAATCACTTGGTGTCAAGGCGTAGCAACTGCTCTTTGCCATTTATTATCATGGACTTTAACTCTCCGTCTTCTTCCACCTCTATCCTTTCTTGGCCATTCTCAATGATTCTCTTGGTGGTGATCTTCTTGCCATTAATGATTTCGGTGGAAGTCGACATGGATTTGAAGTTGCCCGTCCCACCACTACAAGACATGGAGAAGGAAGAAAGGCCCCCATTCCCCAGGGAACCAAAGGAGGTAAATCCTGTATCAAAGGAAGAAAAACCGCCTCCAAATGCAGGACATTCACTGAAGGTGGAGAAAATCGGTGCGGACCCTCTGCTTCTGCTTCTGCTTCCCCGGGAGCTCCTCCGACCGCCCACAGTGTTCTCAAGCGGGTCTCCGAAGAAGTGAGACAAAAACGGGTCCCGGCCGCCGAAGAACTCCCTGAAGACGTCGGCCGGGTCGCGGAAGGTGAAGACGCCCTCGAAGGGGTCCCCGAAGGGCCTGCCGCCCCGGCCGCCACCGCCGCCCTCCACGCCCGCCTCGCCGTATCGGTCGTAGACGTCCCTCTTCTTGGCGTCTGACAACACCTCGTAGGCCTGGGCCACTTGTTTGAATCTCCTCTCCGCCTCCTCCTTGTTCTCAGGGTTTTTGTCCGGGTGCCACTTGAGCGCCAGCTTGCGGTACGCCTTCCTGATGGCCTCGATCGAGGCCTGGCGGGGCACGCCCAGCACCTCGTAGTAGTTCACCATGCTGGACAGCCGGGCACGGCCCGCAGGCCAGGGACAGGGCGAGCGGCCCGGCCGTCAGCCCCGGGGCACGGGCCAGAGTGCCCACCAGGCCGGGCTGCGTGGAGGGGGCGCTTCTTGTGACGAGACCCACGTCTCATTGGCCGAGGCCGCATCCCAGAATGCTCTCCGCACGAGGCGCTCTGTGACGTGTTTCACGCAGGCGCGGAGACCCTGCCCACTCATTCGCTCCGCCCACCCGGCCCTCAGCTGACCTGTGGTCTCCAAATAGGGGCAGTGTCTCTGAATGCCTTAGGAAATGCTTTTCTTAAAATAGGGTTTACGTCAGGGTTCCCCTCGGCCTGAGGTAGGGGTAGAGCAACAGGAGTGAGTTTAGTCCTACCCTGGGCTGAAGGACAGTCGTTACCATTTGTCTAGGACAGCATTTCTCCAACTTTTTGGCTTCAGGACCCTTTTGAGTTTATGTGGGTTATATCTATCAGTACTTACTCCATTAAAAATTAAAACAGTCAAAGTTAATTAGTCAATTTAATAATGATAAACCCATTACATGCTACCATAAATCATATTTTTATGGAAAAATAACTATTTTTCAAGCCAAAGAAATTTAACGAAGAGTGGTTTCATTTTACATTTTTTTCATCTCTCTGGCTTAACAGAGAGCTAGATTTTTATATCTGCTTCTACATTCAATGTATTGCTATATCACGTGTCGTGTAGCCACTGGGAAATTCTACTGTACACGAAAGTCAAATATCATTATCATGGAAATAGTTTTAACTTTGCGAAATTCTCTGATGAAGTCTTGGGGATCCCCAGGGGCCTCTGGCCCATAGTTGGTGAACACCTCGTCTAGTATATCAAAATAATTAAAGCTTGTTTGTCCATGTTTATAGTGCTGTGGGTAAACTTGGGGTTCAATGATTACTTCTGCTAAAACTGCTGTATCATAACCATGATTTTCTTTTTGACATCTGACTTCTTTCCACCTCCTCCTTATTCTCTCCCTGACTCTATATTCTTTGCTTTCATAAATGGTGAGGCAACACCAATAAAGTTCACTTAGTTCTAAGAGGAAATGATTAACCAAAGAACTCTCAACATTTCATCATGAGGGGTAGTAGATCCAAAAGGGTGCACCATTTCATCATGACAAACTGCTGACTCCATATCACCTGGAGAGACTGAAGCCCTGAACTTGGCATTTGCTAAGCATGCAATAAACAGTAGTAGGAAACAGATTGGGAGTAGAGACCGGTGTAAACAAAGCAATATGGAAAAATACAAGATGTGTTTTGGGAGGGTTAAGTGATCCAGAAGGGCAGGAGGGAAAGGGGCAGAGGGAGGGGTCAAGCAGAAGGGCTAGAGAGGAGGAGTGAGCTGGAGTCCGTCCCAGGGAGTTCTGAGGGCAAGGCTGAGGAGTCTGAATTCTATTCTGGGCCCTAGGGATCTGTTGACCAAGGTTTCAGGGGTGGTGGTGGCGTGTGGACAGCTGATGCAGGGAACCAAAAGGGACAAGTAGGGATTAGGGGGCTTGGGGGCTGAGGCCCTGAAGCAGGACCATGGCAGGTGGGTCTGAGAAACAGTGGTAGAATGATTTGGATTCAGCACTTTCTTGCTTGGACGTGGGGCCTAGAGCAAAGGGAGAAGGGGTGTCACATCCATACAGAGACATTTACTGAGTTTTACTGCCTGCAAAACCATGGACGGCCACCTGCGTGAGAGAGTGGTTGCAAAGCTGAACCTGTGGACATATATATGTATATATATGTGAATAGATAGATACATAGACAGAGGCAGAGACACAGAGAGAGTCTAGTAGCAGAGACAGATAGGCAGACTGCTAAGGGGTGCAAGGCAGAATAAAGCAAAATGCTACAGAGATTTAAGGAAGATGGCTTTGTTTCCCCCTGCAGGGTCCCACAGATTATCCAGAGGGCAAAGGACTTGTTTATGTAACCCTTTTAGTTTAGTAACAAGCAGCTCCAATCTGATTCCATCAAAAGAACTAGGAGTCTGTGGAGTGGTGGGTTTCTTAACTATTGGCTTCAGCTTTAAAATAAATCACCTTCCAATGGGTTCCAGGAATGCTCTTGCAGACGCCCCACTCTTCAGTAGCCCCTAAAGCAAGACCACATCACTGGCCTGCTCAGTTTCCTTGGCCACCCATGCTCCCCAACCAGGGCACATCTTACTCTGCCCTGTAATTGCCTGGTTGTTTGTCCACCAGAGCCCTCTTGACAGGCACAGACCATTTATATCTGGGTTTCTGGCCCCAGCTCCTAGCATGGTGCTGGGAGGGCCAAGACTTCCCATAAATATTTGATGAGTGGGGGAATTAACAATGGATTTTGAGTGTCAGATCTTCACAGTTTTCAGGGCAGGAGCTTTATCGAATTGCTTAGTTGTGGTTCTTGGTCATAATTCTTGACAGTGTGTGGATTGTCTGCTATTCCTATTGGTAAGGAACATTTCCTGGTCATGGGCAGAGTCACGATCCCAAACCATCCGAGTGCACAGAGGCCTCAAAAATTTCTGAGTTTCTGGGCTTCTCTAGTGGCACAGTGGTTGGGAGTCCGCCTGCCGATGCAGGGGACACGGGTTCGTGCCCCGGTCCGGGAGGATCCCACATGCCACGGAGCGGCTGGGCCCGTGAGCCATGGCCTCTGAGCCTGCGCGTCCGGAGCCTGTGCTCCTCAACGGGAGAGGCCACAACAGTGAGAGGCCCGTGTACCGCAAAAAAAGAAAAAAAAAAAAAAAAATTCTGAGTTTCTGCGTTGTGCAGGAAAGCCACAAAATCGTTACCGGGGTGACTGTGTGTACTTACAGCCCCTTTGCTCTGTGTGATCTACAGATGAACTCTCACAACATTGAGACTTCGAAAGAATTACTGCCCTTACTGTTTAAACTGGACTATGAATTTCAGAATGGCAGATAAGCGCACACCAATGAGCAAAAGCATTGCTACCTCTTTTCTGTTCACCCAGAATCTTGGTCCTGGAGAATTGCTGTGTCTGGGCAGGGCAGGGAGGGCAGGGAGCTTCAGAGTACATGAGTGTGAGCACGTGCACACATGTGCACCCATACGGAAGCACACACAAGACTGGAGGTCTGTGGAGGAAGGATGGCAGTACAGGAAAAAGGGACTCTAAGGAACTACTCTAAGTACCAGAATGAGGGAGGCCCTGTGAACATGCCCCACAGGACATCAATTTAAGTTAGCAGTTTCTCCACGAACCTCCTAACAGATTCCCAAGTATGGGCCAGTGATGTCCATAGTGAAAACTTTGGGCTCTGTGCTTTCATCCTGGGGTTGTGTCAAACAACAATGGATCCCAAAAGGAAAGAGCGAGGTGCTCAGTTCTGTCTGCACTCCGATTTGCCCTTTCTTGGGGAGGGGCACTTCTATTCGGCAACTACCATACTCGGCTCCCTGACCCTTTGCCCGATCTTTGGGGCACCAGCTAGTGCTGGGTATTGCTGTGGGAGTACATTCTACTTAATCCCAAAGTCCTGCCATCTGCCTTCTCTCCATTTATTTTGATTGGGTAATGACTGTGGGGGTTACAGCTCTACTTCTGTCTTCTGTTTTGTTGTGCATCTCCATCTCAGTCTTAATACTGTTGTCTGGGCCCTGCTTGAGGCCGTGGGGGGTTGTGGTTAAGAGGCAGTGCTTCTAACAAACGTAAGGTAGAGAGCTAGTGGGAAGCAGCCGCATAGCACAGGGAGATCAGCTCGGTGCTTTGTGACCGCCTGGAGGGGTGGGGTAGGGAGGGTGGGAGGGAGGGAGATGCAAGAGGGAAGAGATATGGGAACATATGTATATGTATAACTGATTTACTTTGTTATAAAGCAGAAACTAACACACCATTGTAAAGCGATTATACTCCAATAAAGATGTAA